TTTTTGAATATAATCTTAAATTGTCTTCTTTCATTAGGTTATTTAGAAGTGTGTCTTTTATATGTCACATGAGTAAGGTATTTCTAAAAATTCATTTTAATATATAGAACTTTTGAATATTATGCTTTTGATAACCTGGGGTTTTCTTCATCACTGAGAATACACTCAATTTTTGTAAATGAACATTTTAGAAGGTGTTTAAGGAAATAAACCTAGTCACAGATAAAATTCCTCAGATGAAAATGTCAGTATGCTGTCAGGCAGGAGGCTCTGTGGGGCATCAGCAGTATTTTGCTGAAATTATCATGGTTTGATAACTGGCTTATAGGCTTTGGGATCCGATTATGTCAATGCACTGAGTATAGGCTCATTTAACTTAATTCAAGAGGTTGATACTTAACACCCAAATTCCAATTTATTTCTATACTATGAGAAGTATATCAGAAGACCCACAGATTCTTGTGTCTTCACTCCTGGCACATTCCCTTCCTCTAATGAAACTACTTGAATTGCCAAATAATCAAACTTCAGCACATTTATTCTTACCTTAAGCAGAACTTATGCAGCTCAGATAAAGTTAGAACCAGCAAGGAACCAGGAGAGGCAGACAAATCAAAATTAAACAGTATTGAATCTATCTCAGAGTTATATATTTATCTCCTAATTGGGCCTGGCCTGGCCAAGGGAGCCAGGGAGACTTCTCTTTCTGGACAGAGTGCAACCACTTGAATATTTATGTCCTCCCAAAATTCATGTTGAAATTTAATTCCCAATATAACAGTATTAAGACTGGAAGCCTCTTAATTATGAAATTGGGCCATGAGGGTTCCATCCTCATGGATGAGATTAGTGTCCTTATGAAAGCATTTGAGGGAGCAAGTTTGTCCCTTCAGCTCTTCTGCCACATGTGGACACAGTGTTTGTCCCTTCTGCCATGTGAGGACACAGCAATAGATGCCATCTTTGAAGCAGAGAGCCCTCATCAGATACCACATCTGTTGGTGTCTTGATCTTGGACTTCCCAGCCTCTAGAATGGTAAGACATAAACGGCTGTTATTATAAATTACCCAGTTCAGGGTATTTTGTTAGAGCAGCTGGAACAGACTGAGAGACAGGGCTTTAAATGAATCCAAAGATAAGCAAACCCTCTTATGAATGGCACAGACCTCTTTGCAGATATATTGCAATTTTTGTCTTCCATTTTGTTGTTAATTCCTCCTGCTTCTTTGCAGATTTGACTTTTCTCTCTGACCAATTTTAGAATCTTTGTCTTGGGTATTCTGCAGTTTCACTATAATGTACTTAGAAATAGATTTCTTTTCATTTACCTTCCTTGAAATATAGTGTACTGATTCTATTTGTGAATCCATATGTTTCATCAGTTCTGGGAAATTTTTCACCTATTATTATTTTGGATATTGTACATCTATTCTCTGTATTTCCACTTTCTGAAACTTTTATATAATATATACCTTCTTGTTCTCATCTCCATTCCACAGGAATTTTTTCATATCTTTATCTTATTGTGCTGTATTGTGGGGAAATTTTCTGATCTATCCTCCCACCCACTAATTCTTTCTTTAGCTATATCTATTTAATCTAAATAGTTTTTAGTAGCTGCATCTATTTAATCTAAATAGTTTTTAGTTTCAATTATATATTTCACACTTAAAATTTTGTTATATTTGATTTTAAAACACATGGTCATTCTATAGTCTCTTCTTGTTGACTCACATTTCAACCTCTTATAAGGAAATATTAAATATTTAAATATTTTAACCAGCTCTATTATATTTTGTAACCAGTAATTCCTATACCTGTAGTCCAGTTACCTTTTAGGTCTGGAATCATTTAAATGATAATCGTGCCTGAGCACAGACAAAAACAAAGTCACTGTGCAAACCATAAATAACCAACCTCTTCTTGTGGCTAACATGGGTGACTATTGCTTCTTTTCTTTTCTCCCACCCACAACATAAAAATTAAAATACCCAGTTGCAAAATCACTCCCACTTTCTGACAGCACTCAATCCAGAAGAAACCCTCGCTCACTTGAGCCCTCCTTAAAATCAGCTACATGTGCTAAAATTCTGAGCAAGCCCCTCCTTACACCTCCCACTGAGAAGCACCTATCCACCCCAATGGTGTGCAGTCTCTCTTGCTGCAGCAAGCATTAGTAAAACTAATTTTGACTACAATTATGCCCTGGTGATTCTGATGACATCAACAAAAGACGAGCATCAACAAATGCTTCCTGCAGAATTTTCTACCATCACTTCCCCCGCAGTCTTAAGTTCAACATTTTGAATTATCTCTTTTTGATGAAGACCCAAGCCCCAGAGCTTTCTCTCATGCCCAGAATACTGCAGGCTCATAATTATTAGGTGAGGAAAGAATGAATGTTTTTCTACTTACCTATTTCTATAAATATTTTAGAGGGAAATTAGAAGATGATGATTCAGTAGTTTGTATTGGGCCTACTTGTCTTGTTTTTTTTTAACTGTCTAATCTTCACTAATTTCTGTACATCAGGATCTGTAATTGTCACTTTTGTATCAATAAAAAATACCTCTAACATTTCTACTGAAAAATATTGATTACACAATAAAATGAATATAACTTGGCTAATGCTCACAATTACGTAAAAAATTGCATTGGAGAGAGGGAAAAGAAATCTATGAAAACACTGGCAGCAGTTACCTTTAGGTGACAGAACTGTGAGTTAATTTTATTCTTCCCTATATTTTCTGTATTTTCCAGATTTTCTGAAGTCAGTATGATTGCATTTTAACAATGGTTAAAACTATTGATTTGCATATTCATGGGAGAAAAAAAGCTATGCCTAGAAATTGGTCTCTAAAACATTTCTCATATTAGAGAGGCTCAAATGTCACGAATGTGTGAATACCAACAAGTCAAAACACAGCTCTGTAACATGTTCAAGCCACGTTATCCTAGAGGTTAACTGCTCAGTATAATCTCACAAAGAGTCAAAGTCAGAGGACAAAGTCATTAGTGTGAAGAAACAGTGAAACCATAAAAAGAAGAGTCAGGACAAGAAATACCTGAAGCAAAATGACACAAAATGAATGCACTATAAATTGTGGATGGAAGTATCAGGGTGAGGAAATCAGACTATAACCAAGCTTGGGCATGCCTGCTGTACCTCTTTAACACTTAATTAACTCAAGCCTTCCACTGCCAGTCTTCTCATACAGTGGGTCCTATAAATAATATCACCACTCCTTTCAATCACAGTTGATCAAAAGAATGCAAATTAAAAGACTATACTTAATCACTATTGGAGAAGAAATGAATAAATGCATTCATTTCTACTACTATTTGTTTATGCTAAATTGTAAACTAAAATTCTTAATTCAACCATGGTCTTATATAACATGTAGAGTGGATGGTTTCCTGTTTTACCCCCCTACCTTAAACCCCAATCCATTTCCCCTTCCTAACAGCAACCTGAATTTCCAACCCTCCCACAACGGTTAGCTGTATGCTTTGCATGATATTTACTTCACACTCAAACACAAGATATCCTAGAGAAGAACTAATAATTAAAACTCAATCATATTCAATGATGAGATGTGTCTAGGACTTCTGGAAAAGATAAGCTCTTCTAATCTGTTATTGTCCTGGATGGAAGATCTGAGGATTTAAGTGTGGAATTACACATTTTGTTAAGAACCTGGCATTACAGGAGAGGTTTTTTATTTATTTAAGACAAGGTCTTGCTTTGTCACCCAGGCTGGACTGCAGTGATGTGATCATGGCTCACTGCAGCCTTGAATTCCTGGGCTTAAGTGATCCTCCACCCCAGCCTCCTGAGTAGCTGGGACTACAGGCATGTGGCACCACACCCAGCTAATAATCTGTTTTTTAATTTTTTTCTGTAGAGACAAGGTCTTACTATATTGCCCAAGCTGATCTCAAACTCCTGGGCTCAAGCTGTCCTCCCAACTCAGCCTCCCAAAGTGTTCTGATTACAGGTGTGAGCCACTGTGCCCAGACGAGAGTTCTATAAAGTCCGAGGGCAAAACCAGCACCAGGGAAGGCAGAGTGATGAGTCCTTGCTGACATTGTGTGAGCTGCTTGATCTAGAATGATCAAAGCTAGAGCTAGCTCTAATTTTCTTAGTTATGTCACTCAAGTTTTTCTTTGCTGCTTAAGTCACCTGAAGTTAGATTTCTGTCACATGTATCTGTTAAATTCCTGATTAATATATAAATAAAACCTTCTAACTCAGTGAGTTTATTCTGAACTGACAACTACATATGTATTTTGGTAAATAAATATACAGGTATGTTCACTTGTATATTTCTCTTGAACTGACAACTACCTATGTATTTGGTAAAGAAATACACAGGTGTGTTCACTTGCATAATCACTCACTAAGCAACACATGTATAATCTGCCTACTCTACCACATGGACATTATGCTTCAGTTAAGAAGTGCTTATGTTTAAAACGTCACGTTCACAAAAAGGGGCAGGGAGAAGAAATGATGTTGTATATGTTAAGCCATCCATATGCAAATCATGCTGCTCTCTAATAAAAATAAAGCTTATTATAAACAGTCTATCAGATCAGAGATCCAGGTTCAGTTGAGGACAAAATCTATTCTAAAGCTCCTTGAACCCAGGAGGCAACTCAATGAATACTTGTTTTCAAATAAGTAAACCTTGGGATTTGTTGTTGAAACTTTAAAGAAAAACATGACTTAACGCACAGGGGACTTATAATTTATAAGGTAAGCAAGATAAAGATAGGACCATCACAGGTGTAATTCTAAAAGCGAGAATTTTAGTGGAAAAGCAAGTTATGGTTAAAAACAGATGAGATGAAACTGGATCTGCCATTAGGATAAAAAGGAATTCATGTGCCAGAGCTAGGAAACTCTTACGTGAAAAAAGATCCCACAAAACCCCTAAATCATATTTTGTGTTAGTGGCATAGAATCTTTCATAAATGTCTAAAGAACAAAACACAGTTTGTATTATGCTCAAACTAAGGCATTTTATTAGCTGGCTTTAAAACTTAAATAATATCTTGGCTATCAAAGGAACAGCTTCCACTAATTCCAAATTAAACTTTCACAAGTTTACTTGTTTGGGGAGGGACATTCTTATGCTCACCACAAAATACCTTTATTATAACCTTCCCCAAATGGTTTCTTAGAGTTAACTTAAAAAAAAAAAAAAAAAAAAAAAGCTTAGGTTAAATATCAACTGCCTAAAAAACCCAATTAAGTTACTTTTCCTTAAAACATGTGCAGTACAATGAAATCAAAAGAGAAAACTGCAAATACATTGTGCTTTGGCTGGAAGTAGAGTTCATTTCATGATGATTCAGTATCTTCGGATACTATTTTTGACACGACATAAATCTCAGCAAAGTAAATTAATTTACTAACATTTCCAAGGAAAAGTTGTTTTTAATACTAGTTTTTCTTTGCCAGTTGGCAACTTAGAATTTTTGCAGAGGTGATTATTAATACTTCTTTGCAGCTAATTTTAGCTTTAATTTTTCTCTCTCATCTAAAATAATATCAATTGTACATTGTTCCTTTGACTTAATAACTGGATTCTTTGAAACAGAAGTTGGCTATTTCACTGTGTCTGGAAACATGGTAGAAATTCTGACCCATCATTCTTTTATCTGTTGAAAAAACAAACAAAAAGATATTTGCTATAATTTAATCAATCACATTATAAGAACAACAAAGGGAAAATTACAATGAGAGAATTATTATGTCAAGAGGAAATCGTTTTCTTTGTCTTGCAACTTTCTTCCTTTCTAGTCATGCTATTTCGGTAATTTACTATAATCTCTCCATTATTCTCCACCAACAACTCTATCGTATTTTTAGAAGGCTCTTTTAGAAAGAATGCTTTGATAGATTAGATGTGAAGTTGATGACAACGATATCATCTACCAATATTGGATGCTCTGTATGTACCAACTACTGTGCCAAGTGCTTTGTACGTTATCATTTCATTTCACAACAACTCTAGGAGGTAGATTCTATTACCCTATTTTTATACTGAAGGAGGCAAATTGAAGGAGATATGCATTTATGCCACTAAAAGTTGGTGGAGCAAGAACACAAATGGGCAGTCTGCATGAAAGCTGTTCTCTTCACCTCCACCCCACACCACCTTCCATATGTATTTTACATAAATTATGTTTATGAAGTTTCTTAGTGCAACTCGGTTTTAGCAACTTAAAAGAAAGATTTTTCATATGTGTAACTTACTTTTGATGCAACTTAAAGCTTATGTTATATCCAATTAAATGAACTAGTTTTAGGCAGAAAACAATCATTCGGGGTAATGAATCCTAAGATTCATGTTAATTATGATCGTGTAGGAGAAATTAAATCATTGAAATTTTCTGGTTCATTTCTGGCTATTTCCTCCAGCACCTTGCATTATATAATAGATATGTTGCAGAAACATTCTAATATGTTAAATTTGTTGAATAAATCACTCAAATACAACGAGAGCCAATTTTTTGAATAACGTAATTTTTTTTTTTTTTTTTTTGAGATGGAGTTTTGCTTTTGTTGCCCAGACTGGAGTGCAATGGCGTGATCTCGGCTCACTGCAACCTCCGTCTCCCAGGCTCAAGTGATTCTCCTGCGTCAGACTCCCAAGCAGCTGGGATTACAGGCATGCACCACCACACCTGGATAACTTTGTATTTTTAGTAGAGATGGGTTTCTCCTTGTTGGTCAGACTGGTCTAGAACTCTCTGAACACCTCAGGCGATCCACCCACCTCAGCCTCCAGAAATGCTGGGATTATAGGCGTGAGCCACCGTGCCAGGAAGAAAAAAAAATTTAATGAAGGCTTTTCTATTAAACAAAATCACTACCCCAATTCATTTGACTCCTAAAGGCAGTACTCATTTAATTTTGAGCAATATCACGGTTGGGAATATAATTTGAAAGTCTCACTATGAGAAAGTATAAAACCAAACATTTTCTTCCCATCATTCTTTTAATTTTTAAATATAAATTCTAATTCCTTGTTCTAATAGCATAACTGTGTTACCTTTAAGCCATAAAATCTCAGTGAAGATTTTACCATCTTCCAAATGAGTTACATTTTTGAGAGTTACTCTCAAAAAACCACTACAACCTAAAATGTTTAAGGCCTCTCCTCATCAATGCTCTTCTTTTATTCCCTCAATGCTTTCTTTTTATTCCTAAAAGGTAAAAAAGAAAAGACATCATAACTATGGATATGTAACGAGTCACTTGAAAATAAAATACCTCAGTGACCACACCAGCAGCTATTGTAGAACCACCATAACGTAGCATAAACCTCCCCAGCTCTTTAAAGTCTTTATATAGCTCAAGAGCTATTGGTCTTTGTGTCTGTAGCTCCACCGATGCATTCTGGCCTTTAGTCAAAAACCTATTAAGTAAAACAAAAAGAACAAATAAATATATGATAGAGGTGAATAAATGTAGTAATAACAATCTGAGAAACAAATATTTCACAATCAACCAACCCATCAACTGAGTCTTTCAAAAACAGGAAAAAGATTTTTTTTTTTTTGAATGAAAATATATGTCTTTGTACTTTCTGCTTTAGTTGAAAGAAATGAGGAGTAATTCTAGACTTAAGAAACATTAGGTAGTTCATTTGACCAATCTTCCAAATATAACTCTATCCCTTACAGGACCACTATAGCCTAAAATTCTTAAGGCCCCTCCTCATGAACGAAATGTTTTTTCTTTCATTCCCTCAAGAAACTGAGTTCAATTATCTAATAAAGAAAGTTATACTACGGCTTATTTCTATAAAAAAGTATTTGCAAAGGGGAATATAATACCCTATATCTTTCCTAGTAAAAATGTAATTTGTGGAATGTGTATCAGGAAGTTATCAGTAAAGAGGACAATGAATCTCTTGGTGCCAAGATTACCCTCAATCAATCACTCTCTCTTTCTTTCTCTCTCCCTCTCTCTCTTTCCCCACACAGGAATAAAAGTTCCTTAGCAGGAATTCAGGATAAAAATCATATAAGTAGCTTTTCCACAACACAAAACTTGTAAAAAATGAAAGGAGACAGGGCATGGGCCAGACTGTAGATGGTTTCACACAAATAAACAGAAATCTCTACACTAGTCCCTGCTCAGACTTAGTGAGAGAGGCAGAACCTAAAAAGGCCATTTTGGAATTGTTTTCTAATTTAATTTTGATATACTCTAGAAGGATAGAGGACAGAAATCATAAACTCTCCTTTTGAAAAATTAGTTCAGAGACAGACAGAATAAATCAAAGAAGTTTCTAAAAAAAATACACCAAAAATTCCAAGTGTTCATTTTGGATGACTTCAGCCTTAAGTTCATTTCTTAGGAAGGAGAGCGTCTAATATATACATGGCTTGTTCCAAATTTAGTTTCTAGAAAATTAAATTCCATTTTTCATAAAGCAATCAAGAGTCTACTATGTGCCTGAACAGGAATAAAAGGGAAAGGCCAAATGGTTGTGCAAAATAAAAGGATAAAGTTACAAATAAGCTGACAGGAAACACAAACACGAGACTACGTTAAACCCTACCATCACTGAGCTAGGACTTTGTATCAGGAGCATGGAGGAAAAGACTCAGGATTATATATGATGAGCCAATTTCAGATTGAAAACTCTGCAAATCAACTGTCTGGGTCAAACAGCCTGGCTCCTGAACAAAAGAATATAATTTATGTAAACCAACTGACTAGGTTAGAATCCTGCCTTTACCACTGGAGCTTTGTGACACTTGCTAGATGCTTCACAAGATTGCTAAGAATGTACACCTTGTGAAAGCATTCACAATAGAGCCTAAAAAATAGTGGTCCTCAAGTAATGTTAGTCATGTAGTTATATTGTGTTTCTCAGAATATTATGACAAACACTCATGCCAGAAGCTAAAGACTCAGGTTAAATATAAAGATCTACCTTTAGGAGAGAGGTAAAGTAGCGCTTTCCTCTTAACAGAGAACAGGCATGGGTTTAGAGCAATGCGAGATTTTCTCTTCCACCTGCAGCCAGCCTATTAACCCACCAACCGTGTTTGGCCTCTTCTGCAGGTATAAAAGAGATGAGGAACACCAAGGACAGAAAAAAGGGAATCTGGGATGTTATTCCCCATATGATAAAGCTGGAAGGAAAACCCTGAAGCTAAAGCAGCCAAGCCAAACTGCAATTAGCTTTAACTTGGATTTGGGTAAGAAATCTCTTTTTTTTTTTTTTGAGATGGAGTTTCACTCTTTCACCCAGGCTGCAGTGCAGTGGTGCGATCGTGGTTCACTGCAACCTCCGCCACCCCGGTTCAAGCAATTCTCCTGCCTCAGCCTCCTGAGTAACTGGGATTACAGCTGCCCGCCAGCACGCCCAACTAATTTTTGTATTTTTAGTAGAGACAGAGTTTCATCATGTTGGCCAGACTGGTCTCGAACTCCGGACTTCAGGTAATCTGCCTGCCTCGGACTCCCAAAGTGCTAGGATTACAGGCATGAGCCACCGCACACGGCCAAGAAATCTATTTTGTAACATTCATCTCTAGTCTTGTTATTTTGTTTTTATTTACAGTACTCAGTTTCTGAGGAAGTACCTCCTTTGAAAAATCCCAATCTTGTCCGAGCCAAAGGGGAAGTGTCACACCTAGGCCCGCACATTAATGGTAATCAGCAGGCCCAACAGAATGGTGTTCACCACAACTTAAGGTTCCAGGTGGACTTAGAGCAATTAAAAAAAAAAAACAACAAAAACCTTTCCACATGGGAAAAGAACAGGCACTACAGAGTATGGGTAGATGATTTTGTTCTTAGCATAGGGAATGACCTTATTAAGCATGTGACAAGAAAGTTAAACACACAGTTGAAATTTGGAACCAGTGTCTAGATATAGTTCAAATTAATCTTTAAAAATGTAGGTCTAGTTTTTGAAATGCCCTTATTTTCACATCATCGGTATCTACAGCTTAAAATGTACATACATATATGTTTACATTTACGTTTATTTACAATTCACATCCTCCACCACCATACATAACAGATATTTATATCTAGCATTCATATCTAAACGAGCTTAAATACTTGCTTGTTTTCGTTTGTTTTAATTTAGTCCTTGAAGAAAAATAATTTCTGGAACAAGCAAAAATGGGTTTCACTTACCACAAAGAGAAATACTCTACAAATGAGTTGATCTTTAAAAAATGTGTTTAAATTGTTTATCATTTCTGCATTAAAACACTCACTTAGGCTTTTTCTTTGTGACTTCACCCGTGCTTTTGTTTAAGACACTAATCAATCGTTTAATAACAGCAGGTTCACTGACAGTTTGGTAGTGTAACAGCACCTAAAACAAAAAATTATAACACTAAAAATCTGCTTCCATAGCATCTCTGGCCTTTTCTTTTGGCACTTACACTTAATTATCTTTAATTCAGCACTACTGCTTGGAGTCTTTCAGGATCTCCAGTTGCTTTCTCTAGGGCCCACCACTCTAATAAGGTGGTTACTTAACTTAGAGGGAAAAAAGTCATGAGAGGCATTTCAAATTTCTACTCCACCAATTACTGTATCAACTTTAATTCAGTGCATAACCTGCCAGCGTTTTCCTCTGTAACGATGGAGGGTAACAACATCTTAGGGATGTCATAAAGATTAAGTAAGAGAATTTGTCATACAGAACAAATGTTGTCGTTGATGACATTTTTATCGTTATAAGCAGCAGTAGGGAAAGAACCTGGGATTGAATCTCAACTCCTTCTCTTCTGTCTGTACCTCAGTTTCCTCAAGTTTAAAATAAGTAGGCTTCTATAGTGTTGTGATGAAAATTAAACAGGATCAGACCCATTGCCTGCCATGGTAGATGTTCAACGAATATGAATTGTCTCATCATAAAAGTTAAGAGAGGGGGCTAGTATCATATTCACAGTAATTAATGTATTCATTGTTGGATAAGAATAAAATAAATATAGAGGTAAAGAGGAAGGAAAATAACAATTTTAAATATATTGGGTACAAATGTGACTTATATGTACTATTTAATTAATGTGGCAGCTTAGTAGGCCCTGAAGTCAGACAGACCTGGGTTCAAATCACCTCTATTTGTGTAAACTTTAGGGCAAGTTCTTTTTTTTTTTTTTGAAATGGAGTTTCACTCTGTCGCCCAGGCCGGAGTGCAAATCTTGGCTCAATGCAACCTTCACCTCCCAGGTTCAGGCAATTCTCCTGCCTCAGCCCCTCGAGCAGCTGGGATTACAGGTGCATGCCACCACGTCCAGCTAGGTTTTATATTTTTAGTAGAGACAGGGTTTCACCATGTTGTCCAGGCTGGTCTCGAACTCCTGACCTCAGGTGATCTGCCTGCCTCAGCTTCCCAAATTGCTGGCATTACAGGCATGAGCCACTGCACCTGGCCTGGGGCAAGTTCTTTAACAATCCTCTACCCACAAAATCCCCAGCCTCCAGTTCCTTATAACTAAAATGAGGAAAATCAGATAATGTTATTTTAAAGTGGTGCCTGGCACACAGTAGGCATTCATGTAACTGATGGCCTTTTATATAAGCTATTATTATTATTATTATTATTATTTTTTTTTTGAGACGGAGTTTCACTCTTGTTACCCAGGCTGGAGTGCAATGGCGCGATCTCGGCTCACCGCAACCTCCGCCTCCTGGGTTCAGGCAATTCTCCTGCCTCAGCCTCCTGAGTAGCTGGGATTATAGGCACGAGCCACCATGCCCAGCTAATTTTTTGTATTTTTAGTAGAGACGGGGTTTCACCATGTTGACCAGGATGGTCTCGATCTCTCGACCTCGTGATCCACCCGCCTCGGCCTCCCAAAGTGCTGGGATTACAGGTTTGAGCCACCGCGCCCGGCCATAAGCTATTATTTCCATGTTTTCTATGTAAGGAAAATGAAAATAAAAAAGATAAAGGAATTCAATGTGTCCATGATGCTATGTATAGAGCTGAATTTAGGCTTACGTCCGTTGAAACTAAAAATTCAAAGCTCTTCCCACTTGAGGCCTCTGCTATAGACCTCTTACATGGAGGCCTACAGAAATCATATAAATGGAACATTTCACTTTGTGAAAGATAAAGCTAAGCTTTGGATATGCCCTAATCCAAACCAGAACATAGTTAGACTGAGTATCCTCACTCAATAAGTGTGCAGGCCGGGCACGGAGGCTCACACCTGTAAACCTCAGCTCTTTCGGAGGCTGAGGTGGGTGGATCACAATGTCAGAAGTTCAAGACCAGCCTTGCCAAGATGGTGAAACCCTGTCTCTACTAAAAATACAAACATTAGCCAGGCATAGTGGCACCTGCCTGTAATCCCAGACACTGGGAGGCTGAGGCTGAGAATTGCTCGAACCTACGAGGCGGAGGTTTCAGTGAGCCAAGATCATGCCACTGCACTCCAGTCTGGGCGACAGAGCAAGATTCCATCTCAAAAAAAAAAAAAAAAAAAAAGGTGTGCAATAAGCATTAAGTGTGCAATATGTCTACAGTTTCAAGATATTGAAAAGACCAAATTCCCAGGACATATCAGAGCTATCAAAGTTTAATTGGTTTATAAGTATCATTTAATGCTGTTTGTAGAAACATTGACACTTCTACTCTGGAATTTTCTAGCCAAAATAGTTTGCACCTCCAGAAAACAGAAATGCAAGGGGGGCTGTAAATGCACAATCCTAGACTTTGGGAACTTTCTAAACCAAGTCATTCAATTAAAAAAAAAAAAAAAAAAAAAGACACAGATGAGCCTCCATTACTCCAAAAGGACAAAGTGGTTTTCTTTTTCAATGACATTTGAGGAGTCAGAACTGGAAAGATCCCAAAAGAATTAAAAACTGACTATTGGGGGTGAAAAACTTGCCACAGTGCATGGTAAAGTGGTGAGAAACACCTCTGTGCATTCAAAGGATTCAGGTCTTAACCAGTACCAACGTGACATAAATATAAGTCTAAATATCTAAGAAACATTTCTTTTGTAGCAAACAACTTAGGTGAGCAAGTAGCATTCACTTCACTGAGCCAGGTTTCAACTAAGGAACTGGAACCAGTCTCCATGGCCAAATTTAGCACACAAACCTAATTAGGTTTTTTCTACCTTTGGTAAGCTATGTGTGGATTCCAGGTAAAATCAGGGTGGACAAAGGATGGGTGTGGCAGCCTGAAGGTAGGTGTTTTTTTTGTTAGTTTGTTGTTTTCAGACGGAGTCTCACTGTGTCCCCAGGCTGGAGTGCAGTGGTAGGATCTTGGCTCACTGCAACCTCTGCCTTCCGGGTTCAAGCAATTCTCCTGCCTTAGCCTCTGGTGTAGCCAGGACTACAGGCACGCACCACCATGCCCAGCTAATTTTTGTATTTTTAGTAGAAACGGAGTTTCGCCATGTTGGCCAGGATGGTCTCCATCTCTTGACCTCCTGATTCACCCTCCTCAGCCTCCGAAAGTGCTGGGAATACAGGCATAAGCCACCGCGCCCAGCCGAAGTTAGGTTTTATATGTCTTTTTATCTCCTCAGTATCTTACAAATAAGTAGCTCAAACAAAATATTACATGAAAATAACAGAGAGAAGTGACTGTATACTATCTCAATATTTTAATTCATATTATATTTAACCAAAGTCATCTATAATTCAAAGCAATGTGCAGCATAGTGTAATAGGGGAAAAAGTACTCAATTTCAGAGTAAAAGTAATGAATAAGGAGTCCTGGCTTAATCACTTATTATTTACATGGCATTACCTCTCATTCCTTTTCTATAAATGAGAACCATGCTAATACAGGTCCACAATCACTTATCTGCAATTCCCAAGTTCCAAAAGACCGAAAATCTAAAGTTTTTTCCTAAGTCTGTAACAAGGCCGTTTAAGTGCAAAATCAGACTTGAAGTGAGGTAATGTATAGATCTTATTTATCTCAGTTAATGTTAATAAGTGTTGGTACAGAAACATTACTATTTTGATTTCAGAGTGTTGTTCTCTTCTATTATGTAACTTGCAGGCATCATTTACCTTTTTAAAGTTCTAACATTTCTGAATTCTAAAACCATTGGCCTAAAGGGTTTCAGGTAAAGGCTGGGATTCTATATTTCATGTAGGGTTATGAGAATGAAATTATCTAGTGTTTTACAACTCAAATGGGCTATATAATCTGTTAGGTGGTCAAATAAAATTATTCTCCTTAATTTTCTAGGTAACCAGTATTTTTACAATATTAACAAATATATAGTCAATTGGTTTTCAACAAGGGTACCAAGTCCATTCAACAGGGGAAAGAACAGTCAGTCTTTTCAACTCATGGTGCTGGGAAAATTGGATATCCACACACGAAACAATGAAGATGAGACTCTACCTTACATATGTGCAAAAATTAAATGACAATGGATCAAAGACCTAAATATAAAAGTAAAAACAACAAAACTCTTAGAAGAAAACATAACACAAAAAGCTTTATGACACTGGATTTGGCAATGATTTCTTGGATAATACGCCAAAAACAAAGGCAGCAAAGGAAAAAAATAAACTGGACTTCAACCTAAGTGCTCATTAACCAATGAGTGGATAGAGAAAACGTACGTGTACAACACGGAGTACTACTTGGCCATACAAAGGGTAGAGATAGTGTGTTTTGCAGCAACTTGGATAGAGCTGGAGGACATTATTCTAAGTGAAATAACTCAGGAATGAAAAACCAAGTAGTATATGTGCTCATTTAAAAGTGGGAGCTAAGCTATGGGTACACAAAGACATACGGAATACTGTAGGAGACACTGGAGACTCAATAGCAGAGAGGGCTTGAGAGGGATGAAAGATGAAAAAACTTGCATCTTGGGTACAATGTACACTACTTGGGTAATGGGTGCGCTAAAATCTGAGACTTCACCATTATATAATTTATCCATGTAATAAAAACCCACTAGTTGGTAAAAAGAAGTAAAAAGAAAATTGACAAATAAATTTTAAAAAACAAAGGAAAAAACCACTTCTACCCCAAAAGCTATTAAAATTTAAAAATATATTTAAAAATTTATATAGAGTTTCCCATATAAAATAGGGGAAATTTAAATATATTTACATAGTATTATGGACTTAGTCCCTAAATAGTAAAATTTTAATAGCTTAGAAAACACCTTTGCTTAAAAATTTTTTTTGACGTTTTTCTCCCATAGGGAGTAGAATGATAAAATATGATCATTTTTTCTGAAACAAATTTGATCCGGGTGTTTCTGAATCAACATATGCAGGCAGAATCTTCTAAAGAAACACTGAAAAACTTGCAATTCATGATTATTTTTAAGAAACTACAGTAGTCAGGAAGACAGTATTACTATTCAAAGTAACTACTGACCTCTTGACCTCCCTACCTCTCCATTGGCAAATACCACCATTGCATGAGTAAAAACATGCCGTAACCAACCTCCTCTTTGCCTCATAGGACATACTGCTTTCTATGAATGAGTTCCATCTGCTCACAGCAGTTCACTTGTTGTTACTTGATGATTAATAGATGAATTCTGAATATTTAATTATCTTCAACAATAGCATTTTTTTTAAAAAAAAAGCTTTTATTTCTGTTTTAGCATATGGAAGAAATGGAATATAGCTATGAAAGTATTAATATAGAAATAATTACAAAGAATTATAAAATACATGGTTATCTCAGATATAGGTGTATAAGTATAAATGATCCAAATAAATGTATTGCTAACCTCTAAACCACTATTGCTAACTTAAAAAAGTCTTACTTTTATTTCAAATATGCATCAAATGGTAGAAACATCATGGAGAAACAGTTATTGTCATGCAGAATCTGTACTACATGAGCTAATCAGAAAAAAAGAATTCTAATGGGAAAATGGCCATCTGTCGTATGACAAAAGCAAGATACCAAACTATAATAGTCCCAAATATCTCAACACAATTACACATAAAATAAAAAATCCAGACTACTCACAAGTAATAACTTTTCAAGGTAAGTAACATTATTGTATAAAATATCCCTCTTCACATAAAATGTATATGTTCCAACGATGCTGGCAAAGCAACTTTACAGCATGCAGGGTCTGAATGTGTTGCCTCAGCACCACTGAAGTTTACTGTATGTCTAGGATCCCCAGAATACACCCAATACCTATCAGTATATACACATACTGGGTGGATAATACGATTACATAAAAACACTGACATGTAAAGATACATATTTAGGTATTATGCAAGCATACAACATTTTTATTTTCCATGTTTTTATGTGCTTTCCAAAATTTTCTAAACAATCTATTACTTTTATTATCAGAAAAACTGAAAATTGACATATTAAACAAAATGGAAACCCAGAAAGATTCAACCTAAAAAACTTGGGCAAATTTTAGAACACAGTGAAAATGCGTCTATCATTTTTCTCTGGATACATTTTATTATCATTACTTTGTATCCTATTTGTTATGAAATATATTTTCAATGCCTTTTAAAAAGTCCTCAGGCTCAAGGATCAAAATAAAAAACAAAATAAAAATGATTTTCAAATTACAATTTTAAGTTTTTCTGTATTATAGCAATAAGATGTTAATTGAAAATAAATACAGTGCACCACTTGTAAAGAAAGATTTATCTTTCTTTAGTTCCTTTATCATTTACTTCCTAAAAGTAACGTTTAGGATAAAGTTACTTTGAATTTATAAAAATAGGAACAATAAAACATTTTGGAACTTACAGGAAATCCTTTAGTGATAGGAATTTCAATATTAAAGATGAGGATTCGGGCTCTGAAACGAGTGCAAGCTTTAATGGGTTCTTTGGGGCCGCAAAATACACAGCCAACACTGTAAGAACAACAAAAAGAGAAGAAAGGTAGTTGGCGGAGAAATTTACATCAAATAGAAAGACCTCAAAACCATTTACAAGGAAAGTAAAACAATTAAGTAAATTAGGGACTTTTTCTACATATTCCCTTCTGAGTTAAACCATGGCTTTAAACCTTACATCATTTTTATACATTAGAGCTTTCACTCGAAGCACATGCCAAGTATGTGCACTGACATGTATTAATTCAAATTTTAAGTAGGTTTGCTTACGTTTCCATAATTGTCTATTTTTGGTCAAATGAAATTCAAAATTGAACTAGTAGACTACAAAATATATGTGTTTAGAGGTGAGGTCCTATATGAAGACAACAGTTGCTTAAACTCATTTTCTCACTCACTTGATTTTGATGATATCCATCCCGACCAAAGTAAGACTAACATGATCGCCTGCTGCTGCCCAGTCGACAGGTTCATCATGCAGAGTGATTCCTGGAAATGAGTAAGAACCAAAGCATACAGTGAAACACCTCGATATCAAACCATAACAACCAACAGAGTTTGGCTGATTTGTGCTTCATCAGTCACTATTCATCATTTTCAATATGAATGGATTGAGAGTTAAGAAATATAACTGTAAGCGCTGAGGAAAACACACTTCCTCTAGAACTGATTCTCCTAGAATACCACCCTAAACATAAAGAGACTTGTATTTGCCCATAAAAGGCTGACTTCTGCTTATTTAATCAAGGTTTTTAAACTCATTGACACAACTGGTATATTCATTAAACAGGCCTCATTCAAATATTTGAATGTTATATTAATGGATACAGACAAACAGTTCAAATTATTCAAAATGACATAAAACATGGGACTGAAGAAGATGTCTAGCAGTATTTTCTTCTATTGAATTTTGCTTTTAATTAGACAAACACCTAAACAAGTAATCCTTGTTTTCCAAGTAACCTATGGGACATGTACACTAGGTAAGAATTTCAGACGGTCTTCTCAGCAGGCCTTTTAACTACTCCTGGCTTAAAAAGAACTTCTTCCCAGAGAAAGATCTGCGTACTAATGACTGGTTATATAAAAAGAAAAACATTAAGGAAATAGTGATAAGGAAATTTAAAAATGATCCTAGGTGTTGCTATATCTGGAGATATACATCTATTTACCTAGACATAGTCCTGAAGGTAGTCGTAGAGAGCAGTTCCCAAAAGCAACACTCAGCTACCTTATCCAAAGGCTTTTAAAATATATCTCGCGTTTTCTGATTTTATGAAATACATTTATGGATTAAGTTCCTTTCCACATTCTCTTCACAAAGAGATTGTGTAGGCCAACCACCGTGGATAGTTCTTGACTGACATGCTGACATGTTCTTAGTAAATTATAATCCATCCATATCTTTCTGAAAATGCTCATTTCCTATGCAGCAAGGAGAGTTTCTGACTTTTAGGGAGCTCAAGGATAACTTTAAGATCTCTGAGACAATCTAGAATTTTATGCAAAATGTCATGTTATGTGCACATGTGCATTAATTTGGGAAAAGAAGGCATAACTTTCTTCAAGTATCAGAGATTCTTCCTCCCAAACATGTTAGCAATTGTGGTATTAAGGAATGTTTGTTAAATATCAACTAACTAGATTTAGTTTTAAAATATAAATTTAGAATGACCCTGAGTTTTGCTATGAAATATGGAACTGAAAACAGAAGCTAAACATTTACATATAATAGAGATTGCCTTTGGCTTAAAAATTTGTAGAGGTTTCAGACTACAAGTATAAAATTTTCCAAAGGTACTTCTATTTTTGGTTCTTCTTTCCCTCAGTCAGGTTACACTATTCCACACCTAACAATTATCAAAATTAACTTTTTTCATGGAACAAACATTACAAAAAGAGGCTCTTTTTTAATACTCCATGAGTTTGACATGTTAATAAAGTAGAAATGGAATTTAGAATTTCTATTTGTTGGTAGTAGATTCAGTTAAGTTTTTCTTTTGGGACAGTACTGGCCAAAAAGCCACGGTAGTACCTAAAAATGTTTAGACAGAAGAGTGTATTCAAGAACCTAAAACCGAAGCAAAAGCAGTAAGGTGAGAAACTGAGAACTGAGAACTTGTCAGTTTAAGTTTAAAGACTGGCTCTCAAGGAGTAGGGTGGTTCTTCCCTGGGGCTTCTGATAAGACTTCTCTCTTAACAAACACTGATTAAAGATAATGCTTCCAGTTTCTCTGTGTGGAAAGTTTAAGAAGAATGGGGTAAAGAATGTGAGACTTTCAGAGGTGACTAAGGATTTTAGAGGTTACAAGGGAGTCAATCTTAAGGTCTGTGATAATTTTAGGATCATGTTTTAATTCATGGCACGATCATAAAAAAAAATTCTTGTTCTCAAAAATGATCATTAGCACACCAAAAACATAGTGTTTCAAAATTATTATAGCTCTTGTCACTTTATAAAACAAAAGCAGAGAGCTGTACTTGCACACAATGAACAGATCTATAGAAAATGACACTATTTTTAAAGTGCATGTTACTTTCTATCAAAACAGAAATTTCATGATCCCTAGTGGGCAGAAATAAAAATGGAAATAAGTGGTTTACATTCCCTTACTCATTTTTAAATGTAGGTTAAACCATGTAACTTCAATAGATATTCATTAATTTCTTACTTTTCAAGAAATCTTCTTTTAAAGACAGTATAATAATTCAAGCAAAATATACATTCAAATTTATAAATCAGTCAGGTACAACTCTAGATATGAACTATAAATTAAGAGTAACAGGGAAAAATACTAAAATTTAAAAAATTTTTATATTTCCAATAGGCTATGCTTCAGCTTAAAATGGTTACAAATAATGTTATTTTATAGTATAAAACAGATCTTCACAAGTCAGAGGCTTAGTTGGAAGCCAGATTAAAGAGGTATAGAATTATAAAGCTTTAGTCAAAATTTGGAAAATAATAATATACATAAATATACATGTAACATATAAAATGTATTCACATACATAAATATGTATGTATGTATGTATGTATTAGAAGACAAATAATTATCAGTCACTATAAAAAAAAATAGGTCTATGTGCAGAAACAGTGACTGTGGCAATTTACTAGTTCAATTTCTCCTTTCAACATTGGGTTTTTCTGCATTTGAATCTTACTTACATCTTCCTATAAAATAAACATAAATTTTTGGCATAAACATGGCCAAAGCCGTTAATTTATAGTTATTCTGAAATACACATTTCAAAGTAACAGACTGTAGCAGGCTGCTTTGCTACTGACTGGTTAGGCTCAGGCTGGGACTAGATGTAATTTCTGCTACAGAATATTATTCCAAATGTATCTGTGAGGTATCCATACATATCTAGTTAAATCCTAACCAGTCTACTCTAAACAGTGTCAAAAATAGAATGCTATCACAGTTAGAATGTGATATGTAAATATATATACATACACAGTCACAACAGAAAAAAATCGTTTAATGTTTTCACATTTTCATCTTCAACAGTTAGTATCATTTTGACAGTCAGTTACAATTTCAGTAAGACGTTACTTACTTTGGAGTGGTAACTGAACCACTTTTTAAAAATTTGCTGTCTCAACTTAAGGCTTATTTAGCAAAAGCATCTTGCAGATAAATACCTTTTACGGTACAAGTTTCATTAGGAGGCATTGCCAGTAGTCGGTCACCAGTTTGAATATAACCAGCTTCAATTTTACCAGTTACGCAAAATCCAGATCCCTGATCTGCAAAACACACCAAAATCTTATGATTCATACAGCAATGTTATCTGATGATTAATATTACTTAGTTCCTAAGTAGTTATATAAAACTAGTAGTTCAACGGACATTAAATAATCATCATTTCAGAGTTAACATCTCTACTAAATATGGTATATATTTTACTCTTTTTTGGAAATAAAAGTACTCATATTACAAAATTAGAGGTTCATTCCTTTCTCAAATATTTATTAAGAAACAATAAGTATTTGAGTACCAGACATTATACTAAACTCAGAGGATAAAAAAATAAAAATATAAGTCCTTGCCCATAAAGACATTATACTAGTAAAGAGAAAGATGAAAACAATTATATCGTCCTGAGACAAAACTATTTAAAATGTATGATAGAAACAGAAAGGTGTACCAAAGAATCCATGATGGTGAGAACAGAAATCTGGGCACTCTGAAGAAGGAATAAGTGTTTACTAGGTAGCTTGTATGTATGGGTAGGGAGAAAAGGGAAGGCATTGCTACCCCAGGAAACTGTATGCAAAGGCATAACCAAATAAAGGATGTGCTAAGAGCCATTTGTCACTCTTGGGGGCTGTGGGGAGGGGACCATACAGAATAATGAAGAAAAGGCAAGACAGGAGGCAACAGAGAAGGGCCTCACAAATCATACTTAGGGTTTAAATTTCATCCTGCAGTTAAGTAATAGGAAGCCAGCAAACATTGTGAGCGGAGGTATTTCTGTGTTAGAGTAGAAGCTGATACAAATGCACACACTTACTACAGAAAGGAATAAACTCAAGAATTTGGGAATAAAGAGTAACAAGTTTGGAAAGTGAAGAGTAATGACAGAAAGGGGAAACTCTGAGATGATGATGCATTAACTGTGAGATATGCAACTAAGGACAAGATCCCTTTTAGGCTTGGTCAATCTGAAGTGTCTATGAGACATACACATGCAGAAGTTGCATTCCATCCAGTGGGGACCAATCACACCACATTCCATGAGAATGGTACCCCCCAAAGAACAAACACTCCCAGGAGAGATGTACAATTGTGTGGAGAACGAGCAAAAGGTTTGGGTTAGAGATAGAGATTTGGAAAGCATCAAGATGCAGAAGGTAGAGAAACTCATGGGTGTCAGTTCAAAAGGAGCTTGCAGAGTAAAAAGAGGACTGAGGCAGCAGAACACTATTTAAGAGACAGAGAATGAGGAGCCCATAGAGAAGATACACAGAGGTCAGAGAACCAGGCAAGTTAACGGAAGAAAGCAGGTCACAGAAACCAAGGGAGGAAAGTTTCTAGGTGGATGTGGCTACCAGCATCAGAACCAATGCCAAATTCAAGTAAGATAGAATTGAAAGTGTGATTGACTTTGGCAACCAAGAGGTCATATTTCATGACCTCAGGAGGAACACACTCAGGAAAGCAGCGTAGGAAGAAGCCAGAAAGCAGCCTGAATGGGGAACAGGAAGTGAGAAAGTACAGTCAGCAAACACTGTTAATAAAAGAAAAGTAACCAGCTCTTGTATTCTTGATCAACAATGGGCATTCTGGAAACCATTAGCATATTTCCTCTATTACTAGAACACTGGAAGCTAATAATGATAATGATAAATTTCAATTTCATTGCATGGTTTTTTCAAAGCACATTCATTCATTCATTTTTTAATTCATATATTAAATGTATTATGTGCCAGGCACTGGGCTAGGGCTGCAAATATAGGTAAAGAAGAGATAGTACTTCCCTTCAAGGAGTTCATAATGTAAGTGGGATAAATAGCACAGAAAAAATTATAACGCTGCATGGAAGTGCAACGACAGAGGGTAGAGAGAATACAGAGGGATGCATCAGGGCACGTGCGCAGGTAAGCATGCCAGTTATCAGTTTACTGCTGCTCAGTTCTAGATCCACTCTGCATTGCCGACTCTGTGACAATGGAGATTTAGAGAACAAAGGACATCCTTACAGTTTTTATTATTCTAATAGATAAATCTTACATCCTTTTATTTATTGAGTTTTTACACTGTATTTCCATTTTAAAGTTTTCTATATAGGATCTTGCCTATATTAAGTTAGGTATATTCTTGGGCGTTTAATACATCACCTCTTCCAGCAGGTCTGAACCTGTTCTAAGCTGGTCCTTCCTCAGGCCTACCTATAAAGTTTCTGTATATCTTTTAGCTGCATTTTCCTCATAGTCAATAATTCTTTATATTACATTTCCCATTTCGCCTATGTGTATCTAACTCCTAATTGGACCCAGACAGCTACAGATGGGCAGGAAATGGACAAGTAAAGGGAAAGAACGACACGACAGGGAAGCGTGGGTAGACATGTGGCAATAATCACATCCGGTGTGGTTAAGAGACAATGAACAATCTAGTTGGCTGAACACCTTGAAAACTAAAGGAATCTAACGGTAGGAAAAAAACTATAAAGTTGGAAAGACAAAAGGTTTTCTTATGCTTGAAAGATGAGAAATGGTAAGCAAACTGAAGGTTTTCCTGGACAGGGAAGCTAAGTGACTAAAACTGTGCATTTTAAGATTGACAGTGAGCCTGACTTGGGCATGAAGAAGAGAGACTCTGAAGGCAACACACTGTCATAACTTAGTCTAGGAAAGGTCAGGAGGGAATGGGGAAATGGGGGCTCTACTGAAGAAGCACTGCAGAGGTAGCACTTACCTTTGAAAACATCAGATACACATAATCTAAAAGGCTTGTCAACAGATCGCTGGGGAGGCTTAAAGGAATCTGGAAAAAAATGCAAAAGGCAAGGTTCAATTTACAATTAATTTTTTGACTCACTTCAATAAACTCATTACAATCCCACTTCTCCTTGAAAATAACTTTTTATTATTCCTAACAGCAAATGAACTGTCACTAATATACACATGGAGCATCCGAATCCAAAATTCTGAAATGTGAAATACTCCAAAATCTGAAACTTTTTGAGCACCAATTTGATGCTCAAAGAAAATGCTCATTGGAACATTCTGAATTTCAGATTTTTGAATCTGGGCCGCTCAAATGGTAAGTATAATGTAAATATTCCAAAATCCAAAAAAATATAAAATCCAAACACTTCTAGTCCCAATGAATGTTAATCTCATTTAATTTCAACAATACTCTATGAGATATGTAAGGTAGGCACTAGCTTCATTCACTGAGGAAAACAGAGCTAACAGGTTAAGTATTGCACATGTGGACAAAACAGGCAACTTAGTTCCTCTGACTACAAATTCTATGCTTTTTCATACATGTGACTATCTCCCATAAAGAATTCTAAATAATAGTTAATACCAAGTTTATAATGCAGTAAAGCTAGAATAGCAGTATACTTACCAATTTGTTCTAATAAACACAGTCCTTTATACCATTTTGTGAGTTCACTTGAATGAGATCTTGTAATTAGATTTTCACCACTGAGACCACTTGTAGGAATAAAAGCTACGTCACTCTCCTATTAAAAAGATTGACTTATGAAACTTAACACATTTTTTAAAAACTTAAAAGATTCACCATTACCATAACTGTACCAAGTTTGCAAAACAACCACGTAGTTTTTAAAAGGTAATAGAAATCATAGAACTACAGCCCCAAAGTTATCTGATCCAGTAATTTTCAACTTTTTTGATTTTGGGAAACTTGCAAATTTATTCCAAAACATTGAAGCATTTGGTATTACATATGCCTGTTGGACAAATTCCTCCCTATCAATTTCCACATTCCTCTATGACCTCCCTAAACCTATACCAACTAATTTAATAGGTAGGATATAAGTATTTTGCTTATGTAAAAATAAACCCGAATGTTAAACATCTGCAATTTTCTAAGGTGAAATAATCCAAAGAATATATTATATACAGGATATTCAAGAGGAAATAAAGCAAAGAGAATTAAACAAATTTAATAAGAAAATCAAAGTATTAGTTTTCCCTCTCATGACTTAAGGAAAGTAATAACAAATAAATTTAAAATGATCTTACCTTGAAACCTGCTTGCTTAAGAAAGTGCCCAAGTTTTCCAGTAATCTCTTGAAATCTTTCTTGTTGCCAATTAACCTGATAAAGATCCAATTTGTTTTTAAAACTATGCTTCAGAACATGATACATAAAATTTAAATGTCTGCAATGAAATATAAATAATCGACTATATAAAATACAAATATAAAATCTGTTAAAATCAAAACACAGAATATCAGATCTTGACACTAATACAATTTAAAAGTAATTTTCCCTAAAAGAGAAACCCTAGAAATAAACCCCAGTACATTTAGAATTTTTTATATATGCTCAAAGTGATTTCAAGTCTAGGGTGGAAAAGTGAGTATTTTATTCCCTTTTGCTTGGACCAACTGTTAGAATAAAATAAAATTATTAGCACTCCCCTCGAGCCAAATAGACTCAAAAAGTATATGTAATATGAACTCTAGATAATGACATGCCACTGCAGTATTTAGGGGTCTGCAACTTACATGGAAATGCATGCCAAATAAATGGATTAATGGATGGATAAAGAAGTAGACAGAGAAACCAACATGTGATCAAGAGGTAGAGTCTTAGTAAATGGGTGTAATATGGGTGCTTACTGTAAAATTCTTTCAGCTTTTCTTTGTATTTGAAATTTTTCATGGTCAAATGCTGGGAAAAATCAAAAGTACATATACTAATAATACCACAAAGGAACTAATAGCAAATGTAGGTGAATCAGATCCCAGGGTAAGAAAATACCTAAGTAGGCTGGGTGCCGTGACCCACACCTATAATCCTAGTACTTTTGAGAGGCTGTGGCAAGAAGATAGCTTGATGCCAGGAGTTCCATTCCAGCCTGGGAAACACAGAGAGACACTATCGCTCCAAAAAAACTAAAAATTAGCAGGGCATGGTGGTACACACCTGTAGTCCCAGCTACTAGTGAGACTGGCATAGGAGGATTGCTTGAGCCCAGGAAATGAGGCTGCAGTAAGCTATGAAGGCACCACAGCACTCTAGCCGGGGCAACTGAGACTCCATCTCAAAAAAAGAAAATACATAAGTATAAAGACAGAAGTCAAAAGGAACTATTTATAAAGTTGAGTATGTATCCAAAACATACCATAAACAAAAAGTAAATAGCAAATTGGGAACTTTATCTAAGAGAGGATAGAGGGGTGATATCTTTAATAAATAAAGTACAAATTGATAAGAAAAAAATACAGTTCCAAAAATGAGCAAATTATATAAATAATTCTCAAAAGAAAAAACAAATTAAATATACAGAATATATTTACATACTAACATTCACGGAGGAGTAAATTTTTTTAAAAAAGAGGAATCATGTTTTATATATAAATTGGGAAAACAATTTTGTAATAACAGCAGTGTTGATAAGAGTTAAGGAAAGTAAATACACTGTATGTGCCAGGAGTAAATAACTAGAATTTTGCTCAAAGGCATTTTAATCATCAAATCTTAAAAGGTTCAGCAAATCTTAAAAGGTATATTCCCTTAGGCCCAGAAATTTCCATGGAATGAATCATTTCTAAATACACACAGAGGAAATGTTCAAAAGTAGATGTTTAATAAATTATATCTTTAAAATAGAATAGAGCCATTAAAACAGCACCCTCTTTATCCAAGGATTATTAATTACTTGGAAACATGCACAAGAAGACAAGAAAATTATCTTTTTTAAAAAGCAGAATAAAACAGATAACCCAATGTTATAAATAAAAAGATTATATTTAAAAATTGGATGAATATATGAAATGAAATGTTATAAGTTGCTGGGTGGGAAGGAGAAATGGAAATATAGGTTTATTTCTGATTTGTATACTTTCATTCCATTATAATAAACATGTATTATTTTATAATTTAAAACAATTTTTAAGTTTTAAAGATTAATTTTGAAAATAAGAAGACATTTTCTTGCTTAAAAATTACTAACATCTCATTTATTTATGATGAGAACAGAGAATTTATTTTTAAAAACATGGCAATGGACTAACAAAATACATACTAGTCACATTTGAGATCATCCATATGAGCAGAATAACATCTTAATTAGCATCTTAAACAAATCCTCGCAAAGCCCTTAAATACCTGATCCATTTTATTAACTGCAACTGCAAGCTGTGTCACTCCCAGAGAACGGACCAAGAGTCCATGCTCTCGTGTTTGTCCTCCAGTCTCAAATCCAGCTTCAAACTCTCCCCTGCTGGCATCTACAACTAAAACAGCTACATCCGCCTAAAAAAGAAAAATAATTGAAACCAGAAATAATATTTCAGCATTTTAATTCAAAGGACAGATTATTCAATTAATTATGTTAATCAGATTTTTAAAGGAAGACCCTAACTACCGCCACCAAAGCAAATCAAGCAAAAGACTCCCAAAGATGGATTAAATTTTAGGATAAAAAAGTCACCAAAAAATAATGACATAAAGAACAAGAAAAAATGTCCGTATTTGATTATATAACAATTAAAATATCTAAGCAAAGGAGGAAAAACAAACAAAATTAAAAACATAAGTAAACAGCAGCTGGGCACAGTGGCTCACACTTGTAATCCCAGCACTTTTGGAGGCTAAGGCAGGCAGATCATCTGAGGTCAGAAGTTTCAGACCAGCCTAGCCAATACTGTAAAACCCCATCTCTGCAAAAAATACAAAAATTAGCCACATGTGGTGGCACACACTGGTGATCCTAGCTACTTGGGAAGCTAAGGTATGAATATCACTTGAACCTGGGAGGCAGAGGTTGCAGTGAGCCAAGATGGAGCCACTGCACTCCAGCTTGGGCAACAGAACGAGACTCTGTCTCAAAAAACAAAAATAAGTAAACAAAGCGGGACAAACATTTGTAACATGTAAGGTAAAAGTTATAATCTCTATAGAGTCTTTACAAAAAAACAAAACAAAACAAAACAAAACAAAAAAACAGAAAACAAGAAGACATAGCTTTAAAGGATACACGCAAGCTATTTGCTAAAGAAATATAAATGGTCAACAAACATGAAAAAAATTCAAATTCAGTAGAAACCAAAACTTTTTAAAAATTAAATTAAAAACACATTGACATATTCCCCCACTCCTTTGCTAAAGATTTATAAGACAAAATTATTTGCTGTAAGCAAGAAGGACATTCTCAAATATCGCTGATGGGACTGTAGGTGCACAACCTTCCAGGGGGCATTTTCATGAAAAGTATCAAGAACTTAAAAATTATGAATATTTTACCTCCCATCAATTCTACCGCTAGGAATATATCCCAGAGAAGTAAGCATAGATTTACAAAGATATTCACCAGAATATTATTTAGAATGAAGAAAAACTGCAAATAAGTGAATTATCGAAAAGCAGTGTATTCATCCTCTACAGCTATTGAAAAAAAGCCTTGTATAACAAAGTTTTCTAACCTCTGTGGACCATCTTGCAAATCAGAAAGACATTTCTTTCAGACTCAAATTACACATCCCATAAAAGAAGCAAGCTAACCTTAGCTTAGCTCACTTTCTTTGTTAGCCTTATTGAAACCAACTTTACGGGTTCCCACTACTCTTTTGTGTTGATGCCACATCATGGGGATCCAGCCTTTTAAAATGTGCAACAGACAATTTGTGCAACCATAGGTGTTCCTCCTTTTCATTCTTATCAATTATTTCTGTCAATGCACTGTAGGGGCATTTTTTAAAGAACACTCTTTTGATTTTCTCTTTTACAGCCTTTGCTTTGTATGCATACCTGTTTGTCACAGAAAGCCACTTTTGCGTAATCCAGGAAACAATGACTACACCTGGCATTCCCCTCTTTAGCGATCTAGAGACTGTTAATGGTAATCACTTTCTCTCAGGGTCCTCTTATATTCCATCCACATCATTAAGTTCTCCTGCTTTCTGGTCAGAACAGAGTCCACAACAGCTTGTTTTTTTGTTGCTTCCCGAATGACTGTGCTGTCCAGTTTTTAAAGAATTTCAGCCGGGTGCAGTGGCTAACAACTGGAATCCCAGCACTTTGGGAGGCCAAAGCGGGCAGATCACGAGGTCAGGAGATCGAGATCATCCTGGCCAACGTAGTGAAACCCGTCTCTACTAAAATAAAATACAAAAATTAGCTGGACGTGGTGGTGCACACCTGTAGTCCCAGCTCCTTAGGAGGCTGAGGCAGGAGAATTGCTTGAACCCGGGAGGCGGAGGGTGCAGTGAGGCAGGAGAATTGCTTGAACCCGGGAGGCAGAGGGTGCAGTGAGTTGAGATCGCAACACTGCACTCCAGCCTGGCGTCTGGTGACAGAGCAAGACTCTGTCTCAAAAAAAAAAATAATAATAATAATAATAATTTCACATGTAATATATAATCCTCACCATAAGGAAAACAAATGGTCATAAAATATGTCAAGAATGTCTCAGATACTTTCTTACAATAGAACATTACAATTTAAAGTGAAGTATCTGGCCGGACTGGGTGGCTCACGCCTGTAATCCCAGCACTTTGGGAGGACGAGGTGGGCATATCACAAGGTTAGGAGTTCAAGACCAGCCTGACCAATATGATGAAACCCCGTCTCTACTAAAAATACAAAAATTAGCCAGGCGTGGTAGCACGCACCTGTAGTCCTAGCTTCTCAGGAGACAGGAGAATTGCTTGAACCCAGGAGGTGGAGGTTGCAGTGAGCCAAGATCGCACCACTGCACTCCAACTTGGGAGACAGAGCAAGACTCCTTCTCAAAAATAAATAAAAATAAATAAATAAATTGAAGTACCATCCATGTACTTTGTCTGGTGGGGCAATTTACACTATTCCCGTTTCCTTTTACTTGTACCTAAATACTCCTGCTTTGTCTCTACTCTTAAGTGCAGTCTTCACTTCCAATCCTTCATATTTTATAAAGCTGAACACCAATTTCCTCAATGAGATCCAGCTCTTTTGATCAAGGATTCTTAGATAAGAGTACAAATTGGAGCAATCAGTTTGAAAATTGGCTCTTTCACATATACTTGTAGTCAGTAACTGTTCTCCACATCTCAAGCAAGATGTCTAACCTGTCTGGGTTATCAATGTACTTACTTCACAGAAACACTTGGGGATAAATATAGTTTATATAAAACATTCAGACTGAACTTCAAGTCCTACTCTCAGTAATTGAAAATCTTTTTCTCATTAGGTTTTCATATAACTGTAAAACTCTATTTACCTTCTTAGGTTAAAATGTGAAATTTATTGAATTGGTATTAAGACGCCTAAGGCCACAAACATTCTATCTAATCTTCCTATTACGATCGCCAAAAAAATTACTGGGTAATTTCTGTATTATTATTATTTCTAGGCAATAGCTCTTGTCTTTGGGAATCCAAATGCCTACTACACGTTTTCAAGGAAGCCTCTGAAGATCAAGGAGGATAAAGTGCTCTCTCCTCACAATGTGTATCTTCTCTGTTCTTCCTGGAGTGCAACTGTTAGGCTTTCATCTTTCACATCTCATCTTCTACACTGTGATTTCCCTGAGGCGAGGGAGATGCTTTGTATGTTTTGTGTTCCCAAAGCCTACTGCAATATTTTGCACACTGGGAAAGTTTCTTAACATCTTTGAGTCTCTTTATTTGTTACATAATGGAATTCAATTAGATGATCTCTAAAATCCTTGTCTACCATAATTCCAGAAAGAGTTGGAAATAAATGATTTTTGGTTTTGAGGCAGGGTCTCACTCCCTTCACTCACAGCTCACTGCAGCCTCAACTTCCCCAGCTCAGGTGATTCTCCCACTTCTGCTTCCTGAGTAAGTGAGACTACAGGAACCTGCCACCAAACCCAGCTAACTTTTTTGTATGTTAGTAGAGATAAGGTTTTGCCATGTTGCCCAGGCTTGTCCTGAACTCCTGGGTTCAACTGATCTGCCCACCTCAGCCTCCCAAAGTGCTGGGATTACAGGCATGAGCCTCCACACCTGGGCCTGGAATAAACAATCTTTATAATAACTATGGCTCTAAGGTCCTAGAATTCAAAAGCATTTTTACTATAACTACTTGTTCTGGTGTTTGTCTCTTCCATTAAACTATCAGTGCTTTGTAGACATTGTATTCCCAGACTGCTTACCACAGTGCTTGCTACATAGCCAGCATTCAAAAAGTAATCACTCAATGAAAAAAAAAGAAAAAGACTTGCAGACACACACACACACACACACACACACACACACACACACACACACATACACATATAAAGAAAAATCAAAACTATATTGTATTCTTTGGTAGATGCACTGAGAAGTACAGTTTCCTTCAGTATCAGTGAGGGATTGGTTCCAGACCTTCCAACCCCCACAGATATCAAAATATCTGAATGCTTAAGTCCCTTATACAAAAGGGGTAGTCTTTGCATATAGCCTATACACTTCCCCTCGCACACTTTAAATTATCTCTAGATTATGTATAATGCCTAATACAATGCTTACACATGACTTCACTTGACTTGCATAGATTCAACACAGTACTCAGCATGCAGCAAATTCAAATTTTGCTTTTTGGAACTTTGCGGAATTCCACCCCTTCCCCAAATATTTTTATCCACAGTTGACTGAATCCACAAACGCAGAACCAATGTATATGGAGGGATGATTGCATACTAATTTAAAATGGTGATAATATATACTTCATAGAGTTGTTATAAAGATTATATTAAACTAAATGCATATAACACCTACTATAGCGTCCGGCCCATATTCGATACTCAGTTAACAGTGATAATTACTTTATTTCAATCTTTTATCACATTCAGCCCATGAATCTTGAATTAATATTCTAAAATTACATATTAACTTTCTAAAATGGAATCAAATAATTTCTCATTTATCTTCACATATAATATATTCATACAATATCCTTTTTGGTTGACAAATGTTTATCTTAAAATTCTCTTTTTGGCTGGGCACAGTGGCTCACAACTGTAATCCCAACAGTTTGGGAGGCTGAGGTGGGAGGATTGCTTGAGCCCAGGATTTTAAGGCCGGCCTCGGCAATACAATGAGATCCCGCCTCTACAAAAAATTTAAAAATTAGCCAGGCATGGTGGCACAGGCCTGCAGGCCTAGCTACTCAGGAGGCTAGGGTGACAGGATCACTTGAGTCCAGGAGGTTGCAGATGCAGGGACTGGTGATTGTGCCACTGCACTCCAGCCTGGGCTACAGAGTGAGACTCTGCCTCAAAAAATTACTCTTGCCGGGCGTGGTGGCTCAAGCCTGTAATCCCAGCACTTTGGGAGGCCGAGGCGGGTGGATCACAAGATCAAGAGATGGAGACCATCCTGGTCAACATGGTGAAATCCCATCTCTACTAAAAATACAAAAAACGAGCTGGGCATGGTGGCACGTGCCTGTAATCCCAGCGACTCAGGAGGCTGAGGCAGGAGAATTGCCTGAACCCAGGAGGCAGAAGTTGCAGTGAGCCGAGATGGCGCCATTGCACTCCAGCCTGGGTAACAAGAGCGAAACTCAGTCTAAAAAAAAAAAAATTACTCTTTTAATGAGTGGAACCCAGAAAATGGTTAATTGCTTGAAGTCACACTTTTGCCGTGTTACAGAACCAAGTTATTTTAACTCTTCCTGTTTTCCAGTAATCATCCATTATGAAAGAAATCAATGCCCTATATCTGCAGTGCTATTTTCATTGCTTTAATCACTTAGAGTTACTGTGATGTGCAGCACAATGATGTTTTGGTCAACCATGGACCTCATATACAATGGTAGTCCCACATTAAAATTACAATAGAGCTGAAAAACTCCCATTGCCTAATGATGTCGTAGCTGCCACAATGTCACAGCACCATGTATTACTCATGTATCTGTGATGCTATTGGTATAAACAAATCTACTGTGCTGCCAATTATATAAAAGAATATGGCATATGCAATTATGTACAGTAGTTTATAACAATAATAACTATGATAGTGGTTTATGTACTATTTTTCACTTTGTAATTATTTTAAAATATATTCCTTGCATTTATTAAAAAATAAGTTAACTGTAAAACAGCCTCAAGCAGGTCCTTCAGGAGGTATCCAGAAGAAGGCATTGTTATCATAGGAGATGGCAGCTTCATGCACGTTATTGCCCCTGAAGACCTTCCAGTGGGACAAGACGTGGAGGTGGAAGACAGTGACATTGATGATCCTGATCCTGTGTAGGCCTAGGCTAATGTGTGTATTTGTGTCTTTGCTTTTCACAAAAAAAAGAAAATTTAAAAAGCTTATGGGATAAGGCTATACAGAAAGAAAATATTTTCGTACAGCTGTACAATATGTTTTTGCTTTAAACTAAGTGTTATAAGAGAGTCAGAAAGTTTAAAAAATTTAAAGTTTATAAAGTAAAAAAAGCCACAGTAAGCTAAGGTTAATTTATTATGAAAGAAAAATATATTCTTAAATAAATTTAGTGTCGCCTGAGTATACAGTGTTTGTAAGGTACACAGTAGTGTGCAGTAATGTCCTAGGCCTTCACATTCACTCACCACTCACTCACCAAATCATCCAGAGCAACTTCCAGTCCCACAAGCTCAATTCATGGTAAACGCCCTATACAGGTGGAGCATCTATTATCTTTTATGCCCTATTTTTTCTGTACCTTTTCTATAATATGCTTAGATCAGTTTAGATACACAATTTCCACTGTGTTACAACTGCTTACAGTATTCAATACAGTAATATGTTAAACATGATTGTAGCCTTGAAGCTATAGGCTCCAAGTAGTCTAGGTGTATAATAGCTGTTACCATCTAGGTTTGTGTAAATTACAGTATGTCCACAAATACTGAAGTTGCCTAACAACTGACTTCTCAGAACATATCCTTATCATTAAGAGATGCATGACTGCAAATTATATTTGATTTTTTGTAGCATTCTTATTAAGAATCATGTAATTTACAAATTGAATGCTTTTTAATACTATAAAGGAATTAAATAAACCACTGGGTGAAAATACCCAAGCTTCATTATTTCTGCATAAATAAGCTCTTTAAAAAGATTTCTGAATAATTAAGTCCTGTATCTTTTTAAAAGATATCTTTTAAAAGACATAAGGTCAAAAGACCTTATGTCTTTTCAATATATTGAAAGACTTAAGGCAGATTTTATGATAAAGAAATTCATAGCTTTTTTTTTTTTTTTAAAGATGGCGTTTCACCATGTTGGTCAGGCTAGTCTTGAACTCCTGACCTCAGGTGATCCACCTGCCTTAGCCTCCAAAGTGCTTGGATTACAGGCGTGTGCCATCGCACCTGGCCAGAAATTCATAGCTTTTATACATTTTGTTTCTTTCTAAGAAATTTAACAAGATTTTACAAAGTACAGGTAAAAAGATCATGAAAAATACAATACTGCTGTTTTCTTGTTCAAACTTGAGAAAGGTTAAAACTTTCCATTTTAAAATATTTTAAAAGTTAAAATCCTAGAATTGTAACCTCAGCATCAGGAAATTTTATAAAATACAATCAGTACACTATCATGAAGAAAATATCAGTTACCTGGGCTGCTCCTGTAATCATATTTGGAATAAAGTCCTTATGGCCTGGAGCATCCATTAATGTAATAACTTTGGTTGTGGTTTCAAACTTGGTCATACCAACATCCATGGTTACTCCCCTTAAACAAAACATAAAATGGTTAGAATGTACTATGTAAATAGTGCTATAGAGTAAATTAATAATAGTCTACATGCCCATCTAAATTCTTAGGTAAAAATGGAAATTTTATTTATAGACCATTATTTCTGAATAATTAAATTATCGATCAGGGCTGGAATGTCTGGTATCATAGAAGTACATTGATATGGCTTTAACATGAAGTTGTGTTTGCAGTAAGAGCTCAATAAAAATGACAGTTATACCCTCTTACCTTACTTTTTTTTGTAAGAAATAGTGTAAATTGTGAACAACGAAAGATACATGGGGACAACTCTAAATGGGGGAAAAATACTGCACATGAGAAAAGATAAATGAAAAATTACCATTACCAAGAGGTAATTTTCTTCATGTTCTATGCTTATGCTTCACTAGTTATAGAAATGAGCTTCTAAAACTTTCATTTGCAAGGCTGGTCAGTATATTACATATTGAGAAAACATGAGATATCAAAGCAGATGCTTAATTTTTAAGAAACGGAGAGACATGAACAGCAGACTGCTTTTTATTCTATTTAATTCTTCTTGGAGATCAACACAGTGCCTTTTTTCAGCCACAAAAAATGTAGATTAAGATTAGTGAAATGCTTGGGATTAGAAGTTTTTCAAATGTCACATTTGTTTGGATTTGAAATATTTGCATATACGTAATGAGATATCTCAGGAATGGGACCCAAGTCTAAACACAAAATTCATTTATGTTTCATATGCACATTATATACATAGCCTGGAGGGTATCTTATGAAACATTTTCAATCGTTTTGTGTGACCTGTCATATGAGATCAGATGTAGAATGTTCCACTTGTGATGTCATGTCAGCACTCAAAAAGTTTCAGATTTTTGAGCATTTTGAATTTCAGATTTTCAGATTAGGGATGCTCAGCTTGTATAAGAAAGCCTACGGAAGGTCTAGTCATTCTAGGCCTCAGAAATTTAGACGGGGAAATCATGCAGGCAATAAACGAGGTCTGCCCCCAAATCATCCAAAGTAATGAATAATAATACTCCCTTTTACTACCGAAAGAGTAGAACAATTAGAATAACAAACCATAGGTTTGCCCTAGCAATAAAGTAACTGTGGGTCTCCTTAGTCAAGACATTTGAGTTTAACCTGAAAGCATGGGCCATCCAACTTTGACAAAGTGATGCTTAATTCTCTTTAATAATTCCCAATAATCCAAGGATCACGGGCACCTTCAGAATAATGGTGAACTAAGACATTCTGAGATCCTCTGTAGACTGACCTAAGTATACGCTGCTGACCCAGCTCTGATTTCAATTTGTAACCCTAAGGATATGTAATGTCATTGCAACTCAAAGGATAGGAAATTTACTCATTTCTGTTCTTCAGTATCTGAAAAGAACAGGGGATTTACAAATATTTAACATGGTGGGATAAGCAACATATTACATTTTGTAAATGCTCTTAAGGAACATATGGTGGTGAACTAAAACTCCCATTATGTACCTGAAAGCATCTGCTATCTACGGAATGAAGAAATATTGTAAAACTTATATCATGCTGAGCAATAAAGAATTACCGGCAGCAAAAATATGAAAACCAATCAATAGATACATTATCAAAAAAGCTAAAATGACTGACCATTGTAGGATTCAAATCAATTAGTTCACTTGCCAGCTCAACTAAGATACTAAGTAAATTCAAGTGAACCATTCTAACTTAAAATTATACTGTTGTCAATGTCTTTACCTACTTATTAGATAATGCAAAGAAAACTAAAAAGCTACATACTTTAATAATGTGCTTGTTAAACTGACAGGTGAAAATTATTTAGGCTTCTAATATTGTATCATATACAATTCCATTGTTTTCCATAATTGGCAACCGTCCAGCTAATTTTTCTTACTAGGATAGAAAACAGGTCTGTGATACTATATAGAATTAAAGATACCCACAAAGAAGAGAAAACATTATGATACAAATTCCGCTTTACCAGAAGAGGTAACAAATACTGTGACCTGCTTTACAGAACATTATCTTATATATTTTAATGGAGACTATGCAAGACTGCAAGAAAATACACATTTAAAAGGCATGAAAATCCAGATATATTCTCCAATAATCAGACTGAAGACATCAGGGAACACAGTTTAATCTCCTTGTTAAGACTTTCACAGGACTTGGTTTGTAAAGAGTTATTATTTTGACACAGTTGATATATCTGCCATGACATTATCAAGGTGTCCTTTGGCTCTCCCACCCTAACGTGATATATACTGTCACTCTAAAAATACTTCTAAAGAAATACTATTCTTTGGCCAGAGTATATTAGTAGCTGCACATTCCTATTAGAATCTCCCCAAAATTAGCACTCAACACAGTAACAGAGAAAGAGAAGTAACTGACTGCATTATAGCTACAGAATTACTGGTTTGCTGACATCTCATGAAAACAGAACATATAAAGTATAAAAATGAACTGTTTAGTAATTTGAATTTGCTGGTTACTTAGATTCTAGACAAAAGAGGTTTTACTACAGTTACATTTCCTTTGTAAGCTGACATGAAATTAAAAGTCTTACTCATAATTTTAATTCAAAATCAAGACAATTTGACATAAACTAAGGAAGTGACAACTGAAACTTATCCCATAGAATAATTAGCTTATGATTTTTACTGGTTTTTTTTCTGCATGGCTTTTGTTTTACTTTGTTTCTGATAAACATTCTTTTAATCTATTTCCATAAAGTTCAGAGGAGTAAAAACAGTATGTAGCTTACAGCAAAAAAAATCAAAATATTTCCCTGATATTTAAAAGCTATTTTCTAAAAATAGTCTCTAAAGTATTTCATATGTTTTACAAATTTGAGACATATTACACACTTATTTTAGAAGACTGTATGACTTCAAACTGAAAATTGTGAAATATAGTGACTACCTTTCCCTTTCTTCGCCAGTCTCATCCAAGACCCATGCATATGCAAACGAAGCTTTGCCAGCCTTTTTAGACTCCTGTTCATACTTATGCATAGTTCTTTTGTTTACATTACCCAGAAGATAAAGCATATGGCCCATCAGAGTACTTTTCCCAGCATCAACATGACCTAAAGAAAATTGATTCAGGATTAATACCAGGTATATTTCCAGACGTTCACATTGAGGCATTGCATAAATATATAACTCAGTATTTCATGTCAGTGGTTTACAGTAACAATACGAATATTTATCAAATGACAGTTAAAACATCTAAATAGAAAAAAAAAAAAGAGCATGTCTCTTTACAGAGGGGGTAAGTTTCTCAGATTTTTGGAAATTAAAATTGTCAACAAGACATGCCAATTTCAAAATGTTCACAAAACGAAAAATCCCACAACCAAGTGTAGTGACTTCTTCGGTAACAGCATTCTCTCCTCAGGTGACTAGAAAGCATTATGAGGTCACGCCTCCTTGCTTTCTGTCCATTCCACCTATGGAGAAACTCAGAATTTCCATGCAGCCATAAAACAGTGGGCAGGCTAAGGCATGGAGGCTGACGATCCAGAGGGACAAAGGGCATTACCAATGACCACTAAGTTGAGGAGCTGCTTCCCTCCTTGTCGCTTCTCCAGTTCCACCTTCACGTCTATTTGCTGTCTCAGCTTGCCAGACTTTTTCACTGACACTGGGGCTGAACTCTGCTCTTCTGATGCTTGAATCATGTGGGGTGGATTAGCAGATTTAGAAGCAGTCTCAAGAACATCAGAAGAAGCAATGCTGACATCTTCACTGGGCGGTCCCTTTTGAGGTGTGTGGAAACTATGACCATTTTCTTCAGAAGTTACTCTACAGAAGGCAGATAGGAAAAAAGCATTTTAAACCAATTCAACTGATGTTCTATGTCAGAAGGGCAGAAAAACTGTTTCTTCATAATTCTTTATACTCCAGACCAAAAATAATCTCTGCTAAGTAGCTAGAGTCTGTTAAGGTGGAAATGATAAGTAGCTAGACTCAAACCACACAAATACAGATGTGGAAGATCCCAAGAGAAAAACAGTGTACCAAAAAATGAAGGTAAGAAGAAAATATCTTAAAAAGTAACTAAAATTCAAAATCTAAGTCCACAGCCTTGGCCATAAAATCCATCCTATCAAAATCAATGGTATAAAGGGGATATTTTGTAAAAATGGCGCCAAATGTATTACTGCAGTAGAACTAGTATTAAAATATAGTTTTACCTCAACTCATCCTTCCAACATGATAAACTTATGATCCTTTTTACTATCTCCCTTAGGGGAGATATCTCTAAATGACTACATTTTGTAAACATTTTCGACAGTGGAGCTTTAATTAATTAATTCAACAAACATTTGATTTACTAAAAACTACAATATATACTAGGTACTGATGTTGAAAAGAAAATGACATAGAAATGAAAAAGCTAACTACCACTCCCAAAAGATTACAATCTAGTGAGGAACTCAGATATGCAAAGGAGAAACAAGACTATCCAGCTTAACTTATTCTTTCCTTGAAAGAATATAAAATCCTTAGAAAAATAAATTGTGTATTCTATGTATTTTCTCTCTCTCCTTCGATGGAAAAATCCCATAATAGAATTAAATGGCACTCAAGAATAAGGACAAAAAGAGCAATTATGATTCTGATAACCCAACCCTAATTCAGAAGGAAAAAAGACATACATGAAGATTTTTGAGACTGAATCAGAATTCTAAATTATTTTAACAGGCTAAAGTTACTCATGATATAAATTAAATGTTTTATTCATCCAATCATTTAATTAATGTATACTGAATGCCTTCTGTGTCTTAGATAAGGAGTCCTTTCCTTTACTGACTTTGAAATCTATAAAATCCAAAAATTGAACTAGGTGATGATTAACATTCTTCCCAACCAAAACCCATCATACCTCACTAATTTAGATAAAAGAATATCGTAAGGGAAAAAAATAAGGCTCCTGAGTTTGTTTCATAAAAGATATAATTTTGGAAAAGGGAGAAAAAAAAGAAAAAACTATATAAAAATCTATTGTTTATAGTAAAAACCTATTGTTTATATTTGATAACAATGTTTCTTTATCAATTTAGCAGACAAAATACATATAATTTATAAGTAACAGCTTTATTGAACAACTGAAAATTCTGAACTTAAAAATTAATGGCTTCAAAGCAACTCACTTCCCTTGTCTTTAAGAACTGGAAGGATTCTAGAGACTGTGATGAGAACAAACATGAGCTACCAAGGTATGGTGATTTCCATTTTCACAAGATATTTCAAATTCCAGATGTGTTTCATATCATCTGTCTTTGCCACAATGATCCAATTCATTCAATATGAAAATTCAAAAGAGTTTAAAAATATGTCAGTCATTAAAAAATTTAACTAATGATTCCATGATTTGCTGACTCACTCTTAAGTCTGGTTACCCGTGCCACCTAGTGGTATAAGAATTCCCCATCTGACAGTGCTAGGTTTCACTAAATCAGATTTTTTTTTATGTTAAAGTAGCTATAAAATATTTATGTGAGAAAATTGACAGTGAGGTAGGATAAGTAATACACCTACATAGGCCAGAATCAAGCCTAATTTCTCCTTTTGCCTTTTGTACTATGTTATACTTAGGATATATGATACTTCAATACTAATGACACATTATGCAAAATTGAAAGTCTCTTTCTTACAGACTAATAGGAGACAATACGTGAGGTTGGGGGTGGACATGGGGGCGGGGGTGAGGGAGGTACTCAAAGTCTTACCCAGGCACTTCAAATCCCATAGTTTGCTTCTTTCCAGATACTGTCATTTTAGCAACTTTTGGCACAATTTCAGATTCACTTCGAGATGACTGGGAAGCTACTGGTTTTCCTAATTAAGGAGTAAAATGTAAAAGGCCAATTAATTAATTTCTTTAGTAATATACAGAAATCTATTACATATTATTTTAAATTATAGATTATAATTTTCACAGAATTCATGTCTTTATAAACATACTATCTTTTCTCGAAAAAATTTAGTGAGATATTAACGCTGAAAGAAATTCTGTCACTTTAATCTAGGAAATCCCCTATTGTCAGGACTCTACTATGCTTAACCTCCACCAAATCTCTTCCTAATTTTGAACTGACTGTTAAGTTTCAGTATGAAGAGGTCACAAGGTAGTTTCTACACTGAGCCTTGTTCTGACATTATACCTAGACCCTGTATCTCCCTTTGCTACCACGCCCTTTCACAATACTAAAATTGTTTGGTCAGTTAGCAGATGGCTAAACTATTTTTAATCCTGTGAAATTATGAACTGATGAACAAGTTGAGAGTCTGCTGAATTACGCTGGAATATTGTATATATTTCACTTGCACACACACTAGACTTACTAAAATACTGATCTCTACAAAGAACCTGGGGAAAGAGGTTAATGTAGAAAAAATAAATTAAGAACATGGGGGAATTGGCCAGGCATGGTGGCAAGTGCCTATAGTCCCCACTACTTGAGAGGCTAAGGTGGAAGGTGGTTTGAGCCCAGGAGTTTAAGGTTGTAGTGAGCTACAATCACACCACTGCACTCCACCCTGGGTGACAAAGCAAGACACCATCTCTTAAAAAAAAAAAAAAAAAAAAAAAAAAAAAAAAAAAAACAAGGAAGAGAATAAATTATGAGCTACATCAATTTTTTTTGCATTTGATCCCTACATAATTCATTCAACTTTTAAAAATTTATCTTTATAATTTTCAGAAAGAATGTCATCAGGATTGGATCCACATAAAACTATGGAAACTACGTGAGCTACATTGGTAAATACATATGCAGAAACCACAAACAATTAAGAAAAGATTGTTAATCTTTTAAAGTTAATGTATAAAAATCATTTAAAATATTTGCTATTTGCCTACTATGTACCAGGCACTATGCTGGAAATGTGATGGTGAAGAACAGACATAACATTTGCTCTAAGAGAGATGACATTCTAGTGGGGAAAACATACTAAATGATTTTTTTAAAGTACAATTAAATCTGTTATTAGTGTTATAAAGAATTCATATATGGTGCCATAACATTTGATGATAGGGCAAATGACTTACAGAGCTTCTCTAGGAAAGTGAGAAATGGAGCTATGATGGGGAAAATGAATCGAAATTATAATAACTAGCAACAGAAAGGAGGAGCATTCCAAGCAAAAAGAGAAGCTTGTAAAATGGCCCTTTTGTAGGAGGAAGCACAGTTCTTCAGAGGGAATGAGAGCAGAAGGGGAGCTACATGAAGCTAGAGAGATGGGCAGGGCCAGCCAGTGCAGGGCCTTTAGGCCATACCAAAGATCCTAATGCTTATTCTAACAAAGACCGAAGTTACCAAAATGAGATAAGCAAAAGTAAGGGGAAGTGGGAAGAGAGAAGAAAGGATGAAGTAAAGGGACATCTGAAAATAAACAGTTTAGGGATGGGAATTTTTGAGATTGAGACATATTAGGAATTTGGACCTAGTAGCTGAGATTTCCAAATGACAATGAAGGTCAAATAGGCAGTTGAACATGTTGGTCAACCTCAAAGGAGAGGTCTGAGCTGCATCAGCACATAATCAGTAATTGAACACATAGACACAAGCAAGAGCACCAAGGGAGAGAGCACCGAGTAAGAAGAGAAGTGGTCCTAGGAAGCCTTGAAAGAACTCTAGCATTTAATGCCAAGATAGTGGACAATATGCCTACAAAAAGGTGAAGGAGAGCAAGGAAGGGTGGTACCAAGGAAGCTAAGGGAAGAGAGTGTTTGATGGAGTTGGCATCACTGGGATCTGGGGCTCTGGGCCAGTCAACTGAATGAAGAAAAACATTCACTGGTGACATGATCACTTTTGATAAAAGTCATTGGTAGAGTTAGCAAGAGCAGCTGAAAGTAGTGGGAAAAGTAAAAGCCAAACTAGGTTAAAAAATATAAGGTGAGAGGGCCGGGCGCGGTGGCTCAAGCCTGTAATCCCAGCACTTTGGGAGGCCGAGGCGGGTGGATCACGAGGTCGTGAGAACGAGACCATCCTGGTCAACATGGTGAAACCCCGTCTCTACTAAAAATACAAAAAACTAGCTGGGCGTGGTGGCGCGTGCCTGTAATCCCAGCTACTCAGGAGGCTGAGGGAGGAGAATTGCCTGAGCCCAGGAGGCGGAGGTTGCGGTGAGCGGAGATCGCGCCATTGCACTCCAGCCTGGGTAACAAGAGCGAAACTCCGTCTCAAAAAGAAAAAAAAAAAAATAAGGTGAGAAAACGAAGGCATGTTCACTACTTCTCATCTGTAATTTCAAAATCCAAAAGCACTGAAATGTTAAAGTTTTGGGTTATGTTATTTTAATAACTCACTTGGAAGCAAAATCTGATATGGATGACATAAGGCTATTTACCTACAGCACTTATTGATCCTACTTAAAGTGACAAGCCACATACCTCAGGGCAGAAATAGCAATGCGTCTGATTACAGGGAACTGCTCCACAATTCACTGGGACTATTATACTACAGATGGCACGTACATGGTAATGTTTTTCTAAACACAAAATATTCCAAATTCTGAATCTAATCTGACCCCAAGGGCTTTAGGGATTGCATATGTATGAAAATGATTCTTTAATAAGTTTGTCTGGAAAGGGAATAACATGGCAGAATAGCAGTAGAAGGGGGATATGGGATCAAGCTGATGGAAAAGATTAAATGGAGAAGATTTAGTTGAATATATTATGAAGATATGAGATCATCAATATTTTAGAGTTTCTGAGAAGGTAGAATGAGATGGAATCCAAAGTACATGTAGAAACTAAACTGAGACAGGAGAAACACTCATTCATTGCAATAGAAGGCAGGTTTGCATGTTTAGGAACTGGAAAATAAAAATTCCTAATAGATGACTTCTATTTTCTCCGTAATACAGCACTTACTTATGCTCTGGGATCACCCAAGGAAAGTAAGATTTGTGAAGTAAATAAGGTTTTCAATAACTGCTGTGCAAAAAGAGAGTAAGTTGAACATTTTAAAAATTAGAGGAATTGCTAGACAGTATTGAGGTCCCAATTAAGATCTGTGATAATGAATTTCTAGTGGAATTAATCTGCCTTTATGTGACTTTCTCTAGCAATGCCCAGCCATTCACGAAAAGGCACAGAGAAGACATTAACTGCTTCCTTAAGAGTTAAGGATGTATCACACAGGTATAAGAAGAAATGATATGGCATTGAAATTACAAGTAATGAAATCTAAGCTGATTTTTAAAAATAAATAAAATGGCAAAGGAATAGTCCTGATGCACTAGGAGAAAGCAGAAAGGTCTGTAAAGAAAGGGAAGAAATCTTTAAATTCCTGATGAGAGGTGAAGCTCGCTGAAAATAAGGTAGTCAAAGAACTGAAAAGCCAGTGTCAGACTTGGTGGTGTTTTTCCACACACATGGATCAATGAGCTGTGATCATGAAGAGCTTAGAGGGAGAAGAAAAGAGTAAGCCAGCTGCCAAAGTCTCCGATGAGTAAGGAGAAGTAACCATGAGGCTGTTCACTAGATGACAGCAGCAAGGACTAAGAGAAGGCTGGCTCCGCTAAAGACAACAGCTTCAAAAGAATAGAAATCAAGGGGGAAACAGATGAAAGAATAATGATGGGAAGAAGGAAAGAAAACGAAGTTATCTTCCAGAGCCTGAGGTTTAAGCAGCTATAAATGAAGTAAAGCAAGAAGTAGAAGAAAAAAAAAAAAAAAAAAAACACTAGGAAAAGAGATTGAGAATTACAGAAGGATTGGCTTTGCATGAAAAAGCAGTTCCTGGAGTTACAGCAAAAGCGGAGAGGAGATAAGGAAGGAGGATACTTAAGAGCATTATGATGATGAGGATGATAGGGTGTGGGTAAGTGTGTGTGTGTGTGTGTGTGTGTGTGTGTGTGTGTGTGTGTGTGAGAGAGAGAGAGAGAGAGACAGAGAGAGAGAGAGAGAGAGAGAGAGGGAAAGACACCCTGACTGATTAAAATAAGGAAAAGTGGCATGGGGGATTCTGGCCTCTGTCATAAGAAGAAAAGAAAAGGGAAAAAAAACAGAGGATGAAAATGTCTCAATCCAGCCTTTACCATACTAATTCCAACTTCCCACTACAGTTCATCTTAATATCTTCCAACCATTTTGCACATAAAAAATTTATTGTCCCCCTTAACATATTTAGTACACTGAAATACTGAAATTTTGACTTTTAAAAAAGTAGGTGGGTCATACAATGGCATAAAAGGTCCCTAAGCCACAAAAAATCACAAGGTGATCCTGTAATATTTCTGGGGATGCAATAAATATATTACTTTTCTTTTTTGTGATATTTTTCTATAGAACATCAAACTTGTGATGTAACATTTTAAAAATGTGGTTATTTAAGTGAAAGTAGAAGGGGGAGTCTGATATGGATTTGAATACCTCCCCATTAAAGCAGTGGTTCTTAAATTTTTACTTTCAGGCAGGTACCCCTTTTAAAAGCTAGTAAAAACTATGGGGCATTCTTCATCAAAAAATATACCATACATATAAAATTTTACATGCTATTTCAAGTAGATCAATAAGTCCAACTCTAGAACCCTTCCTCTGAGAGATAACCATTGGCTCAAGGCTATTTTGGAAATACATTAATTTAAATTAATGATGTTATCCACAGTCTAGGACAAACATGTACATCCAGTAAATTATCCACTGAACTGTTCTTAACAGCAAGGTGATATACTTCCACTTACCCAATCACATTACAAAGTCCCCCTCATGACTAGCACCATTCTGGAAGGCAGGCAAATTCTACTGACATAGGTCAGAAAGGAACTCATAACTAAAATAACCAGTCACAGATCAGTAAGAGATACATATATATAATTATTCA